AAAATATAATCTATATTTGAGTTGTATATACTTTTAATGAGTGGCAAGTACCAATGCAATTAATATTGCTCTATAATAACCTAAAAAATATATATTTCAGCTATCTACAAATCATACACTGAAAACCTATGTGGTATATGTATCCTCAAAGCTCATGAAACCAATACGATATGTATATAAACTAGATAATCTCGATATGCAAATTTTGATCCACAATATCACATTTTTCTTTTATGAATATGAAAGTTTGAAACCCAGGACCTTTGCATCTGCAGTCGAGTGTGTAGACAACTGGACTACGACACCTCTACATGTACATGTCCTGAAAAGTACTGAACTATGGTAAAATATATATTCTACGATAGAAAACAGGAAGTGGGAGATTGGACAGACACTGTATGCTTCAAATCAAACCAGTGACTGGGATGATAATTGTAAATGGCATGAATTTCATTAAGATCGACAAAGTTACTACATATTTTATCATATTCCAAAGTAAGATTTACATGATTATGTAAAGCAGGATTATGTAGAATGGAAGTGATGGATTAAACTTACTGACAGAAAAGTAACCACTCCAAAACATTGTTGCAAGCAACAACAAAATCTAGGTATGAAATATGCAGACTAAAGTAAAAATGGTTTAAAAAATTGCAAATTTCAAACTGCCAACAACTGATTGTTGGCAGATATTGTCACTGTCATCCATTCAGCAAAAAAACCTAATTTTTTTCATGAGGGGTCATTAAAAATATTACGAATGATGGTCCCCCAAGAGCAAAAAAAAAAGAAGCTGTTTGGAGTCATGAAGTTTTAAACTCATATATTTCAACACAGAGTTATTGCCCTTCTGGCTCCAAACAGACAAAAATATGATTGGTTGAATCAAGGCTAGCACGTAGTACTGAATACAAGTAGGATAATTACAAGAAAACGGTTTAAAATGATACCATAGGATCCCTGTAAGAAGGTGGTAAGTGCCATTGACAATAAATATTCCTGCCTCCTTGCAGTCATCCTATGATACACTGGTAGTAGTACTTATTGAATTACAAATATTAAAGAGAATACTAATAACCTTCTTAAATGAATCATAACAGAGAATAGTTGTGGATGTTATTATCAGCAATGATGATACATATCCATTTCAGAAATGAAAATCATAATCAAAATAACAAAGATAAATTCATATTAAGTGAATAATTATAATAATAACAATATTTTTCACTTTTATAGTGCACATATACGCACCATGAAAGGTGCTCCAAACGCTCTAATATTACCCTGGCTCTTACCGACTTTCATTGCTCACATCATTCAAGGAATTCCTTCCTACCGGTACCCATTTAACATCTGGGTGGAGAGTAGCAAATTCAGATTAATGTCTTGCCAAAGTATAGGTAGGATTGCAAGGATGGGACACTATTAAATAGTTATTGCTGGAAATTATATATTCTAAATTAAAGTTGAATAAATTCCTTTGACTACATTGATACCCAGAGATGGTGTTTATAAAGTCTGGCAAGAAACTTGTTAAGTTTTCTAAACCAAAATCAAATATCTATATAATAGTTTTTAACACAAACAAAAATGTGGATATGTAAATTAAATGTATATATTCAATTTGAATTGCTTTACTCTGAACTGATTTATGGACTTATTATTCCTATGGAAATGATTTTCCATTTTTCGTGAAATTAGCGTCCTGTACAAAATGTCTGATAATTAATATCCTTTTTAAACAATAATACAAGTGCTCTTTGAACCAAATAAAACATCTGTTACATACATATCAAATTTAACTTACAAGTACATTTAAATGCAGCAATTGCAGCAACATGTACATGAATAAAACTCCAATTATCTAAATGATTACTTAAACTACTGCCACAGCAGACCAGTTATTTGCCGAATTCAATACAGATTATTTAACATGACAATGTTATTTACATTTCATTCACATCATTTATACATAATTAACTTAACACATTACTAACAAATTCCACACAAAAATACTGGAATAATATGACAAATGGAGCCACAACAAAATGATCTTGTACATTTCAAGAAGAAGAATTACACCGTTTTTCCAACCATCCTATGACTAAAATTACACACAACATTATTTTAGTAGGCCTACATTTTAAGAAGAAGAATTCCAAAGTTTTAAACATCCAACCACTACAATTACACACATTATTTTAGCCCATAGATCATCAAAATCATTTACAGTAATATATGACTCAGCAATTAAAACTACAAGTAGGTTATTTTATATATAGAAATTTGACAAACATACCCTTCTGTTAGGCACCAGAAATGTGCATTTGTACACCTGTAATATCTGTATTCCATTCTATGAGAAATCATATACATCCCTAAGATGTACATTTCTGTGTAATTGCAAAGTAAACTATCCAATGATGAATTAATTGTACAGTTTTATCTCACTTTGTATCAAAATAGTATCTACATGTACATATCTTACATTAAATTGTGCATTGAATAAATAGGAATGCATGTCGTATTCACACCCATCAAACATATTCTATGATACAAATATCATTTATATATTTCCAGTATATTAAAAATGATGTTGTAGAAGGAATATATCTTCTAGAATTTTTCTTCTAAATTTCATGTCACCAAAACACTATGCTATCATTTCACCCTATATGCACAAGTGCCATCTGGCATCGAATGATTTTCAATGCAATAATTCATTGGAGAACGTCCAATTAGGAACACCAGGTAATGTACATATTGTAGTCTATATGACAGCAAAAAATACATTTCTTCGTATAAACCTTAACACGTTTTATTGTACCAGATCAAAATCGACTGAAAAACATGTGCACATGTCTTGTTTTTTGTTTTTTAATTTAAAAAAAAATGTATAGTTTCAGGGCAAGTATTTAACTGTCTTTACAATATTACAAAAGAAATGGAGACTATTTCATGCTACAAAAATATACACAATGTGTAATACTGCTAAATTTGGCAGTAATCATTATATAATTATTACTGAGATGTAAGATAATATTTCTTATATCTACAAAAGCCTATACAAAAAGCAAGACTTTGAGAGATGAATCGCTTATGATATCTATATAAAAATGGATTCAGGTAAAATTTACAAAATAGTACTTAGCAAAATTATGTTAATGATGAGAGTTGCTTGGACAGTAATGATGAAGGAACGATGAACAAAAATATTTCAAAATGTCAAAAAAATGTAAATGAAAGACTTGAGGATGGAGGGAGGGGGCATAGGAAGATGCACTTGGAAGAAGATATCAAAGTCAAAATGAGAGAAGCGAGTAAAAAATGAAGGAATAGCATGGAAGCAATACAGACACATGATGGAAGAAAGGGGAAGTTTCACAGGGAGTGAAAGAGAATTTTATTATCTATTTAAATTTGTAATAGTATGAGAAATGGGGCAACATTTTGCTCATGTAGTTATTAATTCTATTAATTCTTTCAAAAGAAGCACAGTCCTCACAAGGGTTAATGAGAGCTCTCCTATTAAAGAGATCTTGATTCTTTATATTTTGACCAGTATGCTTTGATTGTTTTCAGGGGAATGACTGGAACATTGACCAGTAAAGGCTATTTATTTGTCTACGACGGGATCCGATGAGCAGCCCTCTCATTTCTGATTGGGGCCCACTGGAAATGCCAGCAAATTTTGTTACTTTATGGCACTATAATTCTCTTAGTAGAGAGTAAGCACCATTTTTCGCTGAATGATTGTTCCCCTTAGAGGCTGTTCACACCGCAATGAGCGGTCTATCGTAGCACCCCCTTTTTTCTAGCGCGCGCTAGACCGCACTATCTCTCGTGGACCACCCCGTTTTGGCTCGCCGTGGCTCGCTGTTGGGCGGACCGAAACGACGTTGTACCTCCCACACCGCAGAGATAGCGCGGTCTAGCGCACGCTATCTCTGCCGGTGTGAACAGCCTCTTAGAGACGGTTTTGAGTGAAATTACTGTGAAACTTTTTTGCATGATGGAGATGGAGATCAGTACTGACACCTATAAGTGCTTAAACTGTTAGATAGAATAGTTATATATCTTTTGATATCAAAAATACCAAACAAGAAAAAAGAGTACTGAACAAAACTTTACAAGCTGTACTTACAATAAAATCCCAATGTCTTATTTTGCATTACAATGGTCAATCATGAGTAGATTTAGTAGAGTTGAATTTTTAAAAAAGAGGTAAAATGATTGCATGAGTACTATCAAGGGTAATACTAGAGACCATGTAGATTTGCTACAGGAAAACAAATCAGAGGGGTGTTTCGCAAAGATCTTAAGTTGAACTTATCTCTAAGTTGGACTTAACAGTTATGGAAAGCCATTAGCATCTTTGAAAATATTTTTTTAAAGTTATTTTAAAAGGCATAAAATGTTGATTCAAATCATTCATACTTTCTACTATCAAGGAGATTTCATGTTCTTGATGTGGAATTTATGAAAAGTCTAAAATACTTTAATTTTGGCTTTTGAATATATTTTATTTTAAGGCTACAAATGGCTCTCCATAATTTTTAAGTCCAACTTAGAGTTAAGTTTGACTTAGGATCTTTGTGAAACACCCTCCAGGACATCAAATCAAAATTAATCATTTTAGACGTAATGACCAGCTCCATAGAGTGCCTCAATAGAGATGGTCTTTATAAACAATCATTGGTCACTAAAGCAGGTTTCCCTGTACTTTTAAAAAGTGGGGGAAAACATAGATTTTGAATGGTTTACATTCAGGATGACTACAGCACTTCCCCATATAAGAGGTACACAGTCAAGAATGTTTGCGTTTGTGCTGACAAGAATGTAAAAGAAAAACTAATCAAATGTAAGCAGTTCCTCATGGCAAGAAATCAGAACAAAAATCTGACATAAAACTTTTGTGAAGTAAAAAATAAATTGTGAAATACCCTGATCATATAATACTACATGAAATAATATGTAGTGTTTTAAAAAAAAAAAAATTCCAGCAAGTAGTCAGAATTGACTATTTTTGCCGCAAATCTTTCCTCTATTTCTATAGAAATATTTTCTTTCAGATTTGAATGCACATTCATTAAACACAAAAATGAGGTAATGGGAATGTATTTGTTTACAGTGCCAAATCTATACTAGCTGTCACTGTGAACTAATATGGGCACCAAAGATATCACTAATATCAAAACTTCCAAGATCAAATTTACATAATTGAATTTTCTCACGTAATTACAGTACATAACTTCAGGGTCCCATTTCACAAAACTTGTCATCAGCCACTAATGACAGCTTTTTTATAATTAAGCTAATGAAATCCTTGCTTCTGATTAGTTATCAGCAGGTTTGTCACTAATTTTTGTCATTTGTCATTGAAAAAAGGCTTTGTGAAACTGGTCCCTGGCCTTCCATTAGTCACTGAAGTAACTTCAAGACTTTTATCAAGAATATCTTCCAGCAAGCAGAAGTATTCCCCACACTCCAAGGCTCTATTTAATCAAACTTTCTCATCAATAACAAGTGCCCCATTTCTATTTTGTTTCAAAACTTGCTCACGGCCAATCAAATACAACGGCTTCAGTGCATAATAGCCAATGTAACTTCTCATTGATATCAAGTTTTATGACGGCGAAACTGAACTGTTTTCAAGTTTCTTTTCCATCTCCATAAACACATCAAAAATCACTGTTCCTGCTGAGCAGTTTCATGTGATCTGTACCTCGTTTCTGCCATTTTCTTCTTGTACACATTTAACGATGTTACCAACTCTGCTGGTGACTTTCTGTCCATCTGATCTTTCTTCCAGCACATCTCAGACAGCAACTGGATCTTTGGTGAAGCAGGGACAAGCTTGGAATGTTTTTCAGTCAACCTCTACATGGTGAAACAAACAAAAAATTGTTTTTAAAGAAGAGTCTCAGTTGAAACTTAAGTCAGAATGGGAATAGGGATAGGATAGATACAGGAATAGAAACAGGAATAGGAATGGATTCAGCAAAATTTAATTCTTCGTAAACAAATTTGAGGAAATAATTGACACTGTATGGCATGCATTCAACAAAAAGTTGTATTTCAACACATGGCTTATTCCCCATATTATAGTGTAACACATGTGTGTCCTCATGTCTAAGGGGTGGGAAATAAGATGCTTATCTACATCTACATTGATTCTTGGCAGAGGGTTTGGAATCTTGCCAAGTGTTTTATACACGCTTACTTACATTATTTTAGTCCAAATTAGAGGTTTAACTCTTTACTGGCTCTGATTGACCAGTGGAACACACATCAGACTGCCTGAATCAACTTTTGGCACACTTACAGTGTACAGAAGAATATAGTAATAATGGATATTTTTATAGCATACATATCCACCTTACAAGGGGATCCAATATTATCCCTGCCCCCGCTGGGCTACCGATTTTGGTGCTTACAGCATTCAAGGAATTCCTCCCTATTGGTACCCGTTTAACATCTGGGTGGAGAGTGGCAAATATAAACTTATATCTTGCCAAAGGACATTAGTGTCGCAGGGGGATTTGAACCGTGAACCGAGTGATCCATAGTCCAAGGGCATATCAACAGGCACTATGAACATGATGGACAAAGAAAGAGGACAAAATATACAGTTCCTCATTCTACCCTCAACAATTGCTTTGGTAGACAAAAGAACATCCCTTCACTGCTATTATGTAAAAATAAGTAGAACAGGTGAAAATGCATGTGACACCTGTTCTACACATTTTCACATAATAGCAGTGAAGGGATGTTCCTTTGTCTACCACAGCAATTGTTGAGGGTAGAATGAGGAACTGTATATTTTGTCCTCTTTCTTTGTCCGTCATGTTAGTAGTGAGGACCATGACACCTCTACAATATTATAATAATTTATACAACACCTACGTGGATCCTTGTCATTTGATTGGAGGATTGTTGGTCACATGATATTCAATAGATGTTATATTGCACGGGCGTGCATTTTTGGTTATATGCGCCATGCATTTTTGGTTATATGCAGACTGCGTACCTCTCTGCCGTGCGCGTATCCCTGCGTGTATCTGACGCGAAGGCAATCTGAATGTAATTGAGAAGGCTTGACTCCAACTTTAATTTATCTTTAATATAAGGAGTACAAATAATGAATGCATTTCATTCGTTGAAAGATTAACGTTAATTCTATTCAACTCGGCTGACGCCTCGTTGAATAGAATGTTAATCTTTCAACTCATGAAAATATTCGCACTATTGAACTCATAACCATTCATTATTTGTATAATAATATATACTCCAAACAAAATGGCAGTCAAGGTTCCCATCTATGATGAATAAAGACTTCAATCATGATTCAGACCAGGGGTAAAATCAGAATTAAAATAAAACTGACGAGACTAAATCTTACCTTCTCCCTGATTGCATCATCACTCAAGTGCCTGAGATCAGGATATGGGAGGCATCCACCATTGTAAAGCTGATATAATAGGCATCCAAGACCCCAGGAATCTGACTCCGGCGTCAGTCCTTTCCCATTAAGCACCTTCATAAAGCAAGAAAAGGAGATATTGATCATTAAAATTTTAAAGGGAGATGGTTTTCAGTTTCGATGTGTGAGAGGTCATAATTCACTGACACCAGACTTGGTGGAAATACCGTAAAAGGGCGTACAAGTCTTGCACACAGCAAACCTGTAGCCCTATCAAGAATCTCAGAGAGTTTTTCGAGTCAGGGAAAAGTAAGATCTTTTACTTTTGCCATATAGAGAGAGGGGGGGGGGGGGGAGGGGTGGAAAATGCAGAACATTTCATAAGGCCTGTTTGTCATAAAAGTGAAGGCTAATCCTGGTGATCGACATCACCTGTTATTGGGAAAACACAGAATGGTGTCAAATTCCCCACGAGAGCCCACCACTTTGCGTCTTTAAAGTCATTTCTATGTATCGCTTGACATTGAAGTTATCCATCAATGTAAACTACATGTAATATGCATCCAATGACCTAGGTACATATACATTTGTATCTGACTTGGGCAACAGTGCTTTTTCATTTAGCCTCTACAAAATGGAGTAATAACCTATTATAAACAATGATTTCTACATAATAATACATGTAGGCCATGTACATTCTGTTACAAATGATAACTTGTGATTCTATCTATCCAGCTAAACTTCATTTTGCCTACTGGAAACGGGTGATCCCTGTATCGAATCTGCAGGAAAGAGAAAATTCAGAAGTCAATTATTCAGTGAAAGTCAACCCTGCTCTTACCTCTGGAGGAGCTATCCTGGGATCCAGCCCAGTTTTCACGTGCTCCGGAACCTCCGTTCCTCTCCACTCCTCAGAGCATGATCCTCTCAGCCCCCGACGGGAGGAACGGATATCGACGGCGTAGTCAAAGTTGCACAGCTTCACACGATCTTCATCAGTCACCACTAAATGATCCACTATGAGAAAAAACATAATAGTAATTATAACATCAATACTACTAATAATATTAATAATGATAACATTTATAATGAAAATAATAATAATAATGATTAAAACAATATTAATTATAATATTGGATATTTTTACAGCCCCCCGCCCCCACAAATTCTTATGACGTTATAAACTGGAGTATTACACACATTTTGTGTAATGATGTATTCGTACAGTTTTAATTTTTTTAACAATCAGGTACCATATGCTGCATCAAAATTGCTATGCTGTGGGCAACCAAATTGGAAATTTCCCCTAAACTTTTATCATAACTTAATCACAATTACAATTGATAAATGACACATATTTGTAAAGCTTTAGATCCTACTCTTTCAGTTGATGCCACTCAAATGATGCAAATTTCATACATCAGTGATTAAAAACAATTTGAAGAGAGGGTTTCAAAAAGTCATTTGGTGGGCGGTATCGGAATTTCAAAGAGAAAATCACATTTCTGGAAAGCTCATTTTCTGCCCTTTCATATGACACCTCAATCAGGAAAAATGAGCCAGGAATAACAAAGTGCTGTTGGTATAAAGTAATGCTTGCATTTCCATAATTTAATTAAACGAATTCATTTTCACTGGCTGCCTGCCGTATCAACAAACAGAGTTGACAAAAGACTAAACTCCGTTTCAGTAATGATCAGCCATCAGATGCACAAAGTAGATGAAAGACTTGATGCATGGCTGATTGTCAATGAAACGGATTTAAGTCCCAAATGAAGCAGATGAATTACCTTTCCAATTGAGGTAGAGTATTCCAGACTCATGAAGCGTAACTGCAGCTTCGCATGCTTCAATCCAGTACTTCTCAAGAGTGTCTTCTTCATAGCCGTCCAAATAGGACGACAGACTCTTTTCTAGAAGAATTAGAAGAACCGATGAGATGAGATTTAATTAATTAAACATGAATAAATAATTCATCAGAGTGCAGTGGTGAGTCATGACACCTAAATCTAGCATTTTGCATTCCATAAATCAGTGGATTATACAGACAATACTGGATTTCTTTATGAACCAGAACGTCAATGACGTAGCGCTCATCTGCATCTCGCAACAACAAATATCGTAAATTTTATGTGGTACACTTTTGAACTTTGCTGAAAACAAAATGCATTCTGAACATTTAATTTTTAACCTCTCTTTTCTCCTCTTTTTATCATCTTAATATTTTGCAAAAAACTTTAAAAATGAAATGAAGGTGAAGAAGCATTTTTTGTTATTTCTTGGAATAAATTTGAATAAATTACCATAATTAATCAATGGAGCAAAATCTCAAAATTCTGTGTAGAATTTTAGTAACCAAATTTAGCTCTACCAGATAAAGCAAACCAAATCAAAATCGGTGGAAATATGAAGGAGAAGAAGCATTTTTTGTGATTTTTAAATTATTTTTGGAATAAATTTGCATAAATTACCATAAGTAATCAATGGAGCAAAATCTCAAAATTCTGTGTAGAATTTTAGTAAACCAAATTTAGCTCTACCAGATAAAGCAAACCAAATCAAAATCGGTGGAAATATGAAGGAGAAGAAGCATTTTTTGTGATTTTTAAATTATTTTTGGAATAAATTTGCATAAATTACCATAAGTAATCAATGGAGCAAAATCTCAAAATTCTGTGTAGAATTTTAGTAAACCAAATTTAGCTCTACCAGATAAAGCAAACCAAATCAAAATCGGTGGAAATATGAAGGAGAAGAAGCATTTTTTGTGATTTTTAAATTATTTTTGGAATAAATTTGCATAAATTACCATAATTAATCAATGGAGCAAAATCTCAAATTTCTGTGTAGAATTTTAGTGTACCAAATTTAGCTCTACCAGATAAGGCAAACCAAATCAAAATCGGTCAAGAAATGAGGGAGAATTTTTTTTGGTTATTTTTGGAATAAATTTGCATAAATTACCATAATTAATTAATGGAGAACAATTTCAAAATTCTGTGAAGTTTAGTGTACCAAAGTTAGCTCTACCAGATACAGCACACCAAATCAAAATCGGTTGAGAAATGAAGGAAAAGAAGCATTTTTTGTGATTTCGAATAAATTTGCATTAATTAGCATAGATAATGAATTTCACGATTCTGTGTAGAAGTTATAAATCCCCCTCCTAGCCCTATCATATGAAACAATCAGAATCAAAATCGGTTGAAAAATAACGAAGAAGAAGCATTTTGAAAACTACGGACGGATGGACGGACAGAAGGACGGATGGACGGACAGAAGGACGGATGGACAACACGCCATGGCATAAGCTCATCGGGCCCTTCGGGCCGGATGAGCTAAAAACTAGCCAAAGGCAGGGATACCAGTTGGTTTCACCTCTACAGCTTGTAAAGTGACCCAGAAATAAAGTATCCCCATATATTCTGTACAATAAAAACCTGCAAAGGCCTGAAACAGAGGGTGACAGGGTCTGAAATCTGGCAACAGACCAATCAATGGGACTGCCTACCAGTAAATTTAGCGCACCCTGACAGTCCAGAGAACTTCCAAGGACTACTCCTGAGGCATCTAATGCCCTGATCCCATTAAACTACTTTTTTCTTCCTCATACCTCATGCAATCTTTAGTTTTAATATATTGTGATAGGCTGAATAGCCCTTTGAAGATCACCAGAAGAAGAATTAAGAAGTGGAGAGTGGGCAGTACCTGAGAGGTATGTAGAACAGACAAGTAGCTTTTCTTCTTTGATCTGCCTGTACCAAAGACAGCTTGAGATGATGCCTTCGAGGAACGGTTGACTCTTAGAATGGAGCATCTGGAGAGTAGCGGTGAGACTTGGATAGCACCGGACCTAAGAAGCATAGATGAGTAAGAAAAGGAAAACGCTTGTACGACATATGCTCCGTGGTCTACATACATATCCTCCACAAACTAGATTTTTATTTCTTTATCCAGGAAACTTAGGAACTTTGTTATTTACCTTATTAAAAATAAACATTTCAAAGAACAGAAAACAAACGGGCCTGGGCGTAAATTCAATATGGCAGCTTCCATGAATTGTAACATTACTGTCTCAGCAAATCTTTTAAAAATATCATTTATTTTCAAATTGAAAAAATGAATCTTGTAAAATTGCAAATAAAACATAACTAAAGACGGAAATATGAATGTAAGTACTACTTTTCTTTAAAGCAGTTTATTTATGTGAAATTCGTGCTGATCGGAAGCATTGTTTTTCACCAGGAGTGATGGGCAGAATGAGCTCTGTGCTGGCCGGCTCGCCCGGCCTGGCTACCCAGTGCCGACTACCGCACCGTAACTTTAACGCTGCTTGCTATTATATTACCGAACCCTGGACTGAACCAAGTTCGTGTAAAAAATTGCCTAACTCTGCCGAACAGAACCCAAACATGGCGCCTGACTTACAGCACTACCACAAACTAAGTTCATAACTTCAACCCAGGACCAAGCCTAGCACTGTACTTAAATCTAATTCCAACCCTAAACCTAACCCAATTTAATGAAATAAAGCTAAAACAATTGTTGCTGGGGCACATATCAGAGCACTATAACGACAGGTCCTCACACCTCATCAATTTACCGATAAGCATCAAGAAAATTTTGCAAACAAAGTAACTAACAAAATAGAAAAAAATCGTCATGTTTTAAACAAATTTCAACAAAATTTTAAAAAGAAATATATACATGTAGTACAAATTGTCCATTAGAAAGTTGAATGGAAGGGGAAGGGAGGTGACCTACGCAAATTTTTTAGTTGGCAAATATAACATCCCTATGCCTATCATATCCAAAGGAACAAGTATAGAAGTTACCTTTTTGATGATGACACTGATCGGTGCTACTTTATATTGTCTGGCTTTGCAACGGATAGGTGAAAAGTGTCCTAACTTGCAAAGCTTGGCCTCTGTTCTCAGATCAGTGTAGTGCTGTCCCTTTTTGAGAGAGCTTTCTGCATTTGCATCAGCACTCTGATGCCAAAAAAGGTAATCAGGGGGAAAACAAAAATAAACGTGATTACATTATAATAGTGGGTTCTTGTAAAGCGCTTACGTCTGTCAGACTCGACACTCCTTGCGCTCCGCATATGACATTATTCCATATACAGTAAAACCTGTATAGAAGGACCGATGTAATATGGCATATGACATGAATCCATATATAGTCGAGCCTGTATAGAACGACCGCTGTAATGTGTCTGAAACGGCATATGACATTCATGCATATATAGTCGAGCCTGCATAGAAAGACCGCTGTAATGTGTCTGAAACGGATTATGACATTAATCCATATACAGTCGAGTCTGTATAGAAAGACCGGTGCAATGTGTCTGAAACGGCATATGACATTCATCCATATATAGTCGAGCCTGCATAGAAAGATCGCTGTAATGTGTCTGATACGGCATATGACATTAATCCATATACAGTCGAGCCTGTAGAGAAAGACCTCTGTAATGTGTCTGATACAGCATATGACATTAATCCATATACAGTCAAGCCTGTATAGAAAGACCACTGCAATGTGTCTGAAACGGCATATGACACTATTCCATATACAGTCAAACCTAGAGTCAAACCTGTATACAAAAACCGCTGCAATGTGTCTTACGGCATATTCAATTTATCCTTATACAGTCAAACCTGTATAGCAAGACTGCTGTTATATGTCTGATATAGCATATGACATTAATCCATATACAATCAAACCTGTATAGAACGCTAGACCGCTGCAATGTGTCTGATACGACATATGACATTAATCCATGTACCAGGGGTGATAGTGAGCACTAAAAAAAAAAATAGGTTTTTTGTTTTCCCCTCAACCACGCCCCCCTTTGAGTAAAAAAAAAAGAAGAGGATTCGCGGGGAAAAAATGGCATCTAACAACATTCCCCCCTTTCGAGTGAGAAAATTGGGAAAAAATAGGGAAATTTGGGAAAAAAATAGGGTAGAACACAGAAAATCAGGTGGAAATCAGGAAAATCAGGATAAAATTAATAGCGAAGAAGAAAAAAAATCTGGTAAAAAAAATCAAAAAAAAAAAAAAAAAAAAAATCTGGATTTTTTTTTTTTTTTTTTTTTTTTAAATCGGGAAAAAATCGGGAAAAATATAAAAAATCGGAAAACCGATTTAAATCGGGTTTTTATCAGGCCTGATGTACATTTGAGCCTGTATAGAAAGACAGCTGCAATGTGTCTGATACGGCATATGACATTATTTAATACACAGTCAAACCCCTGTAATGTGTATGATACTGCATATGACATTAATTCATATACAGTCAAATCTGTGTGGAAAGACAGCTGCAATGTGTCTGATACGGCGTATGACATTATTTCATACAGTCAAACCCCTGTAATGTGTATGATACTACATATGACATTAATTCATGTACAGTCGAACCTGTATAGAAAGACTGCTCAAAGAAGTCAAGAAAAGTGGTCTTTATATTCAGATCGTCTTTATGTACAGGTTACTTTAATACATGGTTCAATGAAAAACCATATTCAAGAGAAACAAAAAAATGTGGTTTTTATAGACAGGTGTCTTTCTGTTCAGGTTTGACTGTATTTCATCCATGAATGAGTGATATGAGAAAGCACCAGTATTCAAAATGGTCATCAATGGTTTTTCAATTTGAGATGAAAAAAGACGTGACGTGAGGGACACGTTGCACGGAAACACTCATTTGCTTTCTGGCCATGAAAGTCGACTTACCCATGCTTTCTTCCCATCAGCAGCGGGTTGTTGTAACTGTTGCAGTTCATGCAGTCTCTCTAAGACATCAATCTCTTTCACCTTTATCAAGCACCCTAAAGCTTCCTCAAAGAAATGCATCTCAGGGTCATGAAGTAGTCCCTTCTCACTAAAAAAAATATAAATCGATCATATCCAATCGTATTGACACTATGCTGGTAAAACATTCCATCTACAAGTTTCATTCTATTTATTCATTCCTTAACTTATTTCTCTGTTTCTACTCATTCATGCATCCAAATACATTTAAAAAAATTACTACTTTCAATCCAAATTTCAAAATTTCCCCAAACTTTGCATTACCTTTAAGTTGACCATAGTGGACAAAAAAAATTAAAGATAACTCTAGCCGTAGCTCCTGCGTCAGTGGACAAATGGCATAAAAGGACCTGTTAAACAAAAACTTCAACCAGAAGCATTCTAAATCTACGATAGATCTACCTTTCAAATATTTTGAAAGAATAATGTTAGAGAATAGAGAATGCCGTTTTCAAGTTGTAGCAAAAAAACTTACCTGCACAAATCCTTGAAGTAGCCACAGTATGGCAGCACACATCGAACTGACCGGCAGCTCCTGCTGTGATCCCAGTATGCTTTGACCATCTCCCTGCAGCCCATGCACTGGTCAAGTTTGCCACGGCGATAGCACAGCTTGAATTTTTTCTCAATGAGTAATTCTGTCTACACAGTGGAAAATGATCAAATTTAAATTGAAGTCATTAAATTGAAGTCATAATGATAAGAAAAACATTGATAATCTTAATAGAGAAGATATTTACAGCAAGTCAGATGACAATTGTCTACATCATAGTGTATTGAGAGAGACAGTTGTGACATGCTCTTAACCCGTTCAGCTCGGCATTATTCAGCCTGATAGCCACCTCACAAACGAGATTAAAAATCGAACACGCCGTACCGTGAGACTGCTCAGCGCGCGCCACAATGCGTGTGCGTTCAAGCGGCCAGAGGCTTCGACTAACGGGAACCTAGCGCATGCGCAGATCATTTGCCAATCTGGTCTTGTCATGTCGAGAACACGTTGCACGGCCGTTCTCTGCTGTGCTCCAAGCCTCTCAGTTCTTTCAGCTCTTTTGTAGGGTTTTCTTCTTCGTTATCTTTTCTTCTTCTTCTTCGCCTCATTCTGATTTTGTTCTTCTTTTTTCTCTTTTATTTAGATACTCAATTTTATGAGAAAAATACACAATTTATAAGAAATTAAGGATTTGAATGTAAATCTCTGTTGCATCATATTCATATGAAATAATTTACCAGCCTAAATATATATTATTTTGTCGGACATTATACTATAGCGAAAAGATATAGACATGATAAAATGAAACTAAAGAAGAATCCAGAATGGGGGAGGGTTGGGGTGAAAGGAGAGACAAAATAGAATAATAATAAATAAATACAGTACTAGCTATACCGATGTGCCATTTGGAGAGCAAAATAATTAGTTTGTTTTATTTACTAATGTAAAGCGCTTTGAGCATGTTTATGCCATATAAATATCAATATGTATGAATATATTGCCAAATTTTGACAATTGTAGTTTGTAAGTATATGTATTGACAAAGTATAAATACAAATAAAACCGACACAGAAATGTCTGCAAGTATTTGGGACCTATATAGAATGTGCGAAAAGAGCTTTGTCTTTGTCTTTGGCCCATGCATGTTCCCACAGCTGAGTTACGTAAGAGGAACAATGAACGTTGCTGAGGGTACGGGTCGTTGTCATGGCTATAAACTCTAAAGAGCGGAAGTAAGGTAAGGGTATAATTGAATAATTGGATGACAGATCTGAGATTATATTATTAAAAAAAAAAGAGAAGAGTATGAATTTACAAATAGTACCAAAAAATAGAAGAAAAAAATAAATAAAGTGAAAGGCGTAAATATTCTAAAAAAAAGAATGAAACGCCGATAATACCAAATAACAACAACAACAACAATGAACTGACTTTGTATTCATGTATAACGCTGCTTTATGTTGTTTTTGGGGAGGGAAGGGTCTTGTTGTTATTGCAGTTGTCGTTGCTGTTTTTTTAATTTTTAAATGGGATCACGTTCCGACATTCTCATAAATAAAAATCATATAACGTAAAGCCAGACTTTACCCTATCTGAAACACTCATTCAAAGACAACAATCATGCACGATAAAGGAATGGACAAGAATATGTGATAAAGATAAAATGTCACAGACAAATAGATAATTATAAGAAATGATTGTTTCTCTCTCTCTTTCTCTCTGCTTATGTGTCTCTCTCTCTCCCTCTATCTCTCACTCGGTCGCTTTCTCTGTCTATCTGCCAATTTTGTTCCGCCGTTTGCTTGTATGCCGGCAACATTCCTTTTTTGAGATAGATTATTATAAAATAATGATGATGTACACACTTTATTATACCTTATATTTATTATAGCGAGCGAAGTGAAAAACGAGCGGCTGATAATGTCTAAATGCGAATAATTATATTTCCAAAGTAAAACTTTTGAATGAAAATCTCTGTTGCAACAAATTGATATAAACACTGTTTATTATGCTATATTGACTATACTATTATACGTCGGACATTATACTTCAGCGAAAAGATATCTATAATTATGATAACAAAAAGGACAGACTAAAGGCGACAAAAATCGGAGCTGGGGTGGGGGGGGGGGGGGGGGGGAGGATGATCGGAGAGACAAATATCATATAAATAAATACAGTACGGACTACGTCCAACTTTCTATCTCTCTCGCCCCTTCCCCCTCCCCTTTCTCTCTCTCTCTCTCTCTCTCGCTCGTTCTCTCTTTCTCTTTCTATTCCCCCCTCTCTCTCTCTCTCTCCCTCTATATGTCTCTCTGTTTATCTGGCAATGTCGTTTTTCATCTTCATCTTTTTTTTATTAAATGTTTTCTATTCCTCCGTTTGCTTGTATGCCGACATCATCTCTTCCTTGAGATTAATTATTATAACGTAATTATCCCTGATGATGTACACATTATACCTTATATTTATTATAGGAAACGAAATAGAGAACGAGCGGCTGATAATGTCGAAATGCGAAGAATATTACTGAACAATAATTATATTTCCAAAGTAAAACTTTTGAATGAAAATTTCTGTTGCATCAAATTTATTGATATAAAAAAAATGTTTAAAATGCTATATTTACAATACTATTATACGTCGGACATTATACTTCAGTGAAAATATATCTATATGATGAAGAAAAAAAAGGGCAAACTATAAAGGGTAAAAAAAAAATCGGAGCTGGGGGGGGGGGTGATCAGAGAGACAAATATTATATAAAAAATACAGTACGGACTACGTCCAACTTTCTATCTCTCCCGCCCCCTAGCTTTCCCCTCCCCTTTCTCTCTCTCTCTCCCTTGTTCTCTCTCTCTCTCTCTTTGCCCCTCTCTCTCTCTCTCTCTGTCTTTCTGTCTATCTGGCAATGTCGTTTTCCATCTTCATCTTTTTATAATGTTTTCTATTCCTCCATTTGCCTGTACGCCGGCAGCATCTCTTCCTTGAGATTAATTATTATAACGTAAATATCCCTGATGATGTACACATTATATCTTATATTTATTATAGGAAACGAAATAGAGAACGAGCGGCTGATAATGTCGAAATGAGAAGAACATTACCGAACAACAATTATACCAAGTAAAACTTTTGATTGTAAATCCCTGTTGCATCAAACTGATTGATACACAAATTATTTATTATGCTATATTGACGGTACTATTATACGTCGGATATTATACTTTAGCCCAAAGATATAAACACAACAAAACAAAAAAATGGAAAGAAAAATGTGAGCTTGAGGGGGGGGGGGGGGGGGGGCGGTGAGAAAAATATCATAGTAATAAATACAGTACAGACTACGTCCAACTTTCTATCTCCCCCCCCCCCCCCCCCCCTCTCTCTCTCTCTCTCTCTCTCTCCCTGTCCGTCTGTCTCTCTGTCTATGTCGTTTTCCATCTTCATCTTCATAATGTTGTCTATTCCGCCATTTGCATGTATGCCGACATCATCCCTTCCTTGAGATTAATTATTATAACATATCCTTGATGTTATACGTCGGACATTATACTTTAGCAAAAAGATATAATCAAACAAAAAGGAGACAAAATAAAGAAGAAAAAAAAATCAGAGTTGGGGGGGGGGGGGGGGTGACCGGAGAGACAAATATCATTAAATATCATTGTACGCATATTTTATTTGTTTTGTATGTAATGGAAAGAGATAAATAAATGACAGAGATTAGAACAAAATCATAATTCATCACAATCATCTCTCTCTCTCTCTCTCTCTCTCTCTTTCTATCTATTTATCTATCTTTCTCTGTCTGTCTCTGTCTGTCTGTCTCTATCCTCCCCTTCCCTCTCTGAATACGTCAGGAATTTCGTGAAATTGGAATTGTGCTTCAGTGTATTTTATTTCCGTATCGCGTTGTTGTGTTTGTTTTTTGTTTTTTGAAATGGTGCGGCTAATAAGGAGTTAATCGCAGTAGTATTGGTGGTCTTTTATTTATTCGAAAATAAATGATATTGAAAATATAGTAATTCATTATATTACGGAACAATAAAGAAAGAAGTGCAAACAACGTGATAATTCACGTTATTTGTCTTCGTCTCCATCTGTGTCCTTGTTCAACCTATCGTGTCAATAAAACTTAGATTTCCTCATTTCATGATCAGTTCTGTAGATGGCATGTACATGCATACATGATAATGATAATGATGATGATGATGATGATGAAGATGATGCTTACAATATTGTAATAAAATAGTAATAATAATAATAACAATTATTTTCTTCATCTTGCACTCGCTTTTCTTCATTGCCAGAAAACTTGTTTTATGTTGCCTTGCATTTTTTTCAACAATGGTAGCATCTTTGCCCGGGAAAAGTCTCATATTCGTGGCTTTACCCCCGGAGTTGCTCAAGACAAGAGTAATATTCCGTAGGGAGAGAGAGGAAGAGTAAGGGGTCGTTTTTCAGAACATAACATTTGAATATTTCATATGCCCGCTCAAGCCAAGACCGGCTTTAGGTTGATCAAGATATTTTACTTCAACCTGCTCTAAAACTGTTACATGCCCTCGTAAAGGTGTATAATTTAGAGTGGTTGTTTGTATTGTAATGTAAATTGACCTATTTACGCCTACATCCTCTTCTTTCAAAACGGCAATCTTCCAGAGTAGTTACTTCTTTACATTCTTTTGTTCCGCCTTAGCGTGGGGCAGCTGAGGGAGCCTGGATAAGCCTTTCATAAAAGAGGAGGTCCATACATGAATGATTCGCTAAATTGGTCAAGTTGATAACATGAAAAGCGTATTGTCATGTAAATACAATGACGTAAAAGATAGCTGTGGAGTCAAAACTTTTGAGACGACAGGCTTTATAGATAACTTATGAAAATATCATCGAATGTCGTTGTTTCATATTCTTCATTTCTACGTCCGATGAATACTCTTCTTCGCTTGATAAGTCCATTTGTATCATATTCATTTTCTGAGTCCGAGTCAAGGATCGCTTCTCGAGCATCTTCAACGCTAAAAATAGGCTTTCTCCGATGACGAGACATTTTGAGAAACTATCTTACATAGATAAAGAGCAGTTATAAGCAAATAATTGAGAACTAATTTGTGCAACCAACTATCATGAAAATAAAAAAGCTGAACTAAATAGTAAAACTCCGACACTTTATAGCACGATAAGTAAATAATAGCCGACAACCTTGAAACGAAACAATGGGATGGACTATATCGAGACTAGCTAATCTCCCCAATAATAGGTCGGCCCGGTACCCTGTATACGTACGCATGAGTAAACTGAACTGAGAGCGCTAGGTCGAACGAGACTGTAATATACTATAAGCTTTTCAATAATCGGCCCGTTACCATGAATAGGCGTCAATGACCATATAAGGCCAAGGCTCATGCATTGAACGGTGTATCCGCGCGTGCCGAGTACAAAAGTATCCAGAGCGAGTGTGGAATTCGCTGCTTGCAAAATCATTATGTCCGGCTTACACAGTCCTAGGCATAGTAGACCCAGCTAGCTAGCAGCAGCGAATCCGAAAATCTATGAAAATAACGTAAACTGACTTGCATGTGTTCTATACGAATATCCTGAAAGAGGACTCGTGCATTCTCATGCTAAACTTGTAATAAAACAAAAATTACGCATCTACAGTCGGTAAAAAATGAGATGCATGTAGCCAAAGGTTCAAGGTTTGTATACAGGTAGTTTATATTGTATTTAGAAGGTGAATAGATGTACTTTTCTGCAATAAAAGAAGCCCTTGCTCGGACCCGAGAAATCTCGGTTCCCGTTTGTGAGTACGTACCTCGGGACCCGAGAAATCTCGGGTCCCGAGTTGAACGGGTTAATATTTTCCCCCAATGAAACTAGAAGAGACACCATACATTGGTTGACCAATCAGGTGAACTTCCTTTTGTGCAACTATACCTCCCAATTAGCTATGGTCTACATTTTACAGGAATAGCCCATGGACACCTGACAGAAAAAATACTTTGAATGATGGAAGCACTAAAATTGGTACAAGTATAGAATACATGCACGTACAAACAAAGTGCAGGAAGAAATTTTGTGAATGCTTGATCACCTTATCATGGTAGCTCAATCAGCTAAAACTGCAGTAACAATATGAATACAGGGCCATCATCATAACCATCATCATCATCAAGCCCATCCTCATCATCATCATCGTTCTTATTATCACTTACCATGTTGCACTTCGAACAATCGCACATGTTTTGTTCCATAGCCTCACAGTATGCCCGTTTCTCAAGGAGTGTCTGCAGATCGTCCTTTGTTGCTTGATCCAAAAAGTCCCCATGAGCCTTTGATACCTCCTCTCCTGAAACCTGGTATAGTGATTTGAAACAGTCAATAGATGAACTCAAATACTTATACCTTAACCTTAAAGTTAAGCTCATCGGTTTTTAACTTCAAGATTATCTTGTAGTTAACAACCGTGTGGACACACTCTCATTTTTTGAAAATGTTCAAGTTAAAGTTAAAACTTGAAGTTTTAAACCATGAGTGATCTTAGGGTTATTACAATAAATATGAGCCATGGTCTTCACTTGAACTTATGTGACATTAAGATGCATGGTTTTGCCAGCTTGTTGTTACAAATACTGCTCATACAGCTGTTACTTTAAAACGATGAACACTTGTTACTCTCTCATGTAACCTGTGTCCCGTGTAAACCAATGTTAGTGTCATAGTTTAAAATGTTGAGATTTTACTAATTAAATGTTTAAACTACAGCAATGCCAAGCAAAACATTGTCATTTTATTCTGATGAAAAGTAAAACGTGGTCTTTACCAATCTGCATTTTTCTATTAAAGGAAGTCTATGGATGATATGGGTAATGCATGGGAGGGGTGGTTATCTGCAAGGTAATTAGGGGGATTTTTTTTTTTTTTTTTTTTTTTTTTTTTTGGGGGGGGGGGGGGGGGGGGGGGAGGGGGTAATAAATTACTGTATCCTTTAGGGAAAATACCAGTTGACTTGGGGGTAGGGGGGTACTCCTAATGGTAGTTGACCTGTCTTGATGCCCTTTTTTCAGTATAAAAAATGTACTTCATGCATTTATATCTTATACTTCTTAATGTTAATAACGATTATCTGTTATCTATCCATACTGTCTTACAAATGATAAAAAAGAATATATTGCTTAACAAACCAGACCTTTCTTGTTGCTGTACCATTGCCTCTAACATCGTTGCCTTGCTGGTCATCCTGAGCTGATTCTAAATATAAAAAATACCCAGCAACATAATCATGTAATAACATTGATTATGAAAAATAACAGATGTATTTCCTATAAAGCAGCAACAATATAAAAATACCCTTCTGCCTAAACACAAAGTATAATAATTCAAGGGTTCAGTGACACAAAGATGTAACTCCATATTGTGCCAACATGAGTATTTTATATCAAAATGTTCAGAAAAATGAGGGCTTTCCAGGAAACACAAAGACTTAACTCCACCCAGAACCCCATTGAAGTGAATGGCTAGTGAAACATAGACTTAACTCCTTAAGGCCCAAGTGCTCAGTGACACATAATCCATTTGTTCTCAAAATGGCCAAAATGGATTTACGTCTTTGTGTCACTGATCCCTCATATTAGTATGTAGGATACATTGAAACGTACAGGAAAACATGTGAATGAGCAAATGAATGTGGTCTCTTGACAAATTAGTACCTAAATTGTGGTTAAATAAACATGACAATCCTCATGAACTTACCATTTGGGCTAATGAGAAGATCGCCTGATGTGTTAGGCATGTGAACATCTTCATCTACATGTTTATTCACATGGCCTTGGTTGCTGGGGATGACTGTGTATGAATCCGTTAGTAAAAAACATTAATAGATAAATGATCATCATCATCATCATCATCATCATCATAATCTTCATCATCATACACCACTGTGGGTCCCCTCTATGGGGGGGGGGGGGGGTCAGACTTCTCATTACCCTTATCATATAAGATAGGTTAAAGAAAATGATGAATGACATGTAATAGTTGCTTTCACCTGTCAGTCATTATTGATATCTGAAGGTGAATAACCTCTAACACAACTTTCACAATTGTCAATTCAATTCAATTCAATTCAAATGAACATTTATTTTCTTCCATTCAATTTGACAACATATTTGACATCTGTTCAAACAATACAATTTATAAGTAGGAACATAAATATAATTAAAGAACTTGTATTACAAGGAAATTCAAATCAAGCTGTTGAATGAAAGGACAGGTATTTTTTGTAACACCTGCATTAAAGAGCTTTTCTTCTTCACAATGACAACACTTATGCTTTAATTTATAACTTATTTTCCCAGTAAAAAGTCACCTGTTTGAAAATAATATAATACCCACAAATGAACATGTATGTACTTGACTAGAAATATATTGAAAAGTTGAAATTTTAAAATTTTGCCTTTTTAGGCGCGTCTTCATCATCTCAAAATAGCCCGCTATTTCTGATTTGGGAAATAATCCCGGAATTACAAATCGCGTCTTCATCAGCTCGAATTTCGACCTCGAAACTTGAAACTTGACCTTGAGAAATTAGCTCGAGATATTTTGCTCAGCGTTAGCGCCTAGTGCGAGTCTTCGGTATGGTGAAGACGCACCGGACAAATAGCTGGATATTTTGCAAAACTATCCCAAGATATCTTGGGATGACAATCCCAACCAAATATCCTGCTAATTGATACTTTGGTCTGATGAAGACGCAAATTAGCTGGATAGTTTGCGATCGGGATAGTTCAAATAGCTGGATATTGGCAATCTCGAGATAGTAAAGACAGGCCTTTTGAATGAGAGAGAATTTTTCCCCCAATGTGTTGCAATTGATGCTTATTTACAATTTAAAAAAAAAAAAAAAAAAAAAAGCATATATATATATATGCAACAATTGATACCACATGTGCAAACATTATCATTTTGTCTGCTCCTGTACATGTATGTGTGGTATATACCTTTAGAACTCTGATTTTAAAAAAATCAGTTAGCCAAACCAGAAAATAATTATTCTATTAAGCTTAATATCTATTACTGGTGAGAGTGTGAATCATAGAACAGTTCTACCTCCATGTATGTATATTTATTGTAGAAACAGAATAATGTTTACAGTACATGTATGTATAGTTTTATAATTGTATCTCAAACTTACGTAGTAGACTTCGGGAAAACCGCTCCACTGACCACGCTCTCATTAGCTGAGAATGCATCTCACTGTTAAGTTCTTGTTGAACAGTAGGGTCAGGATGAGACAAAATTTCCTCGTGAAGGTCTTCTACTTTCCATACCTCTGGCTTGCAAGAATCGAGTCCAGCTTTATCCATTAATCCATTAAAATCAAATTTCATATATTCTTCATCTTCTGCTGAGGACGTTGCCGAGGACGTTGCCGAGGCTGCTGCTGAAGCTTCTGCAGATGCGGCTGACTTTGCAGATGTTGGTGTCGCTATATCACAAGGCTTGGTTCCATCGCCTGTGGGGAGTTCTCCCTGTAAATTGCCGGCTGAATGATAGCCGCTGCTCCTGTTGCTCCGTTGCAACTGCTCCGAGGAACATCGCCGCTTCTCGCCCTGGTACTGGGCCAGATCATTGTCAGTCCTATCCTGGCTTGAATGGGCCCTCTCCAGCTTCCTAGGGGCCAGGTTGTTGTTAACATCATCAGTGGGAGCATCGCTCACATCCTTTGAGCGGCTTCTCCGTATCCCTTCCTGACTGGTCGTTCTGCGCATGGAGCTAAAACCTGAATCATTAAGCTCATCGATATCATCATCAATCTCCTCTTCGATGGCATTCTGTCGCATAAACGATGAGTGTTTTCTGACAACAGGTGGTGGTCTTGAGCTTATGGGCCCATCCAGCACCTGACTCTGGTAACCATTCTGAGAGTAGGGCGTCAAAGGGGGTCCACTGGGAATAGATATTTGCCTTTGATATTCATCTACAGCTTCCCCAGAATATGAAAAATGCATGGGACCACCTTGTGTCGAGCATCTCTGGGGTGATGGTGTGTTAGTATAACCATTCTGTATATGACTCTGGTAACCGTTATGAGGGTAAGGGGTCAACGGGGGTCCACTGGGGAAAGGTCCTGGTCTTTGATATTCATCTACAGCTTCCCTAGAATATGAAAAATTTCTGGGACCACCTTGTCCTGAATAACTCTGAGATGGTTGTGGGTCCATAAGTCCATTCTGCAGTGGACTTTGCATGGGACCCACTTTGTGACAAGGCTCTCTCGTGAATGGTCCATTTGGAACTGATCCTGGCGTTTGAAAATGACCCATATGTTGCTCAGATTTTAGATTGCACGTGGAATGATTCGGCTGCGAGTCTTCAGGGTTGAAGGAACTATATCCTATGTCAAGAGATAAACATCCGCTCCCAGTGTCGCCATTGCAGCTGCTTTTATCCGGCACCTGAGGAGAATGGTTGTATAAATCTGCCCCTGTGACATGTATGTTATTGCTGTTATTTGAGTGTGGTCGATCCATGGCACATCGACCTAATGTTCAATCCTGATCTAAAATACCTTCCTAAATCAGGCTACATTATATAACAATAATAATAGCGGTGGCTTCTTATACAGCGCACATGGCCGTCGCACCGTAGCGCTCCATGGAATCCATGAATGTAACTCTGAAGTCAAAGATTATATTTAGAAGCATCCTGTAACCTGGAAGTGATTCCTGTCTCCAAGGTCAAATTAAGCCCAACTACAACATTGGTCAAATCACAACTGATCATCCAAAGTGTAGACTGATCGAGTCTCTTCAGCACTTTATATGCATGGTAGCTTCCCGTTATTGGACATAAACCTGTATGAATATAGAGAGAAGAAAAAAGCAAGAAATTGATGAAAATCCAGGAATAAATAATAATTCTCAAACAATAAAGACATAGCAGAACATTAATTGTCATAAATGTAAGATTCACTAACTAAAGCAATTGCAAACTTGTAAATATCAAATTTCTAAAATGTCTCAAAGTTGTCTCAAACACATTACAACATGCATTTCATATTTTTCTAACATGAAAAACATATTTTTAGAATTTATAATAGAAATGTACGCTGGTAAACTTCATCAGCTTAAAAAACCACACAGTATTTTACAGTTCATAGACGACAATAAAAAGTTTGTGTGTGCATGTGCACACTCTATTCTCCAGAGTTCAAATATATTTTGTTTGAACAATACATTAAAGGACTTCACCTTATCTAGTAATAGAAAATTCAATTTCAATAGAAATTCTTCGTGAATGACTGTTTCAATAAAAAATTCTGTATCATAAGCAATAAGTAACACATTGTGCACAGCTTAACAAAAAGATGTAAAGTAATGAACGTTAAACATGTACCGGTATTGCAAAACAAGTATCACTAAAAGACTCACGTGGTAATATCTGAATTCAAGCTCATAAAAGATGTTTCCAGGCACAAACAACATGTACAGAGTATCATGTTATGAACTGATTAAATGTAACATGTGCATATGCAGACCACTGCATTTTCATTTTCAGCGGGCACATTCTCAGCGGGGAATCCCACAACTTCTAGAAATACATAAGACCACTCATTGATCAAGCAAGGAATATTCAATGAATAAAAGATCATGAAGGTTGATGACTTTTCATTCTGTCTTCCCCCCCCCCCCCCCCACCACCACCATCATTCTTCTTTCTCTTTCTTCCCACCCTCCACTTTGCGTTGTATTCAGGTACCAAAAATATACATGTTTTAAATTTTCTAAATCTCTCTTTCCATGCAAAATCCATTTATAATCACATTATATTATTTCCTTCCCTACTTCTCAGTTCCTGTCTTCTTTTTTCTCTCTCCTTCTCTCTCTCTCTCTCCTCTCTCTCTCTCTCTCTCTCTCTCTCTCTCCTCTCTCTCCTTCTGTCTCTCTCTCTTCTGTCTCTCTCTCTCCTTCTGTCTCTCTCTCTCTCTCCTTCTGTCTCTCTCTCTCTCCTCTGTCTCTCTCCTTCTGTCTCTCCTTCTGTCTCTCCTTCTCTCTCTCTCTCTCTCTCCTCCTTCTCTCTCTCTATTTTGCTCGCAAGTACCGGGTAAGTAGCTCCTTTCCTCATAATTTCTCTATATTCACTCTTCTCTGAACTTTCTCAACTTTACATGTACATGTATTACTCCCATTCAATTCACTTCAATCCCTCTCTCTGAAAACATACTCTTCACTTTTCTCTCTAATTTCAATTTCTAACCAGACTCCCCCCTCTATATTCTCCAATCTCTCTCTCTCTCTCTCTCTCTCTCTTTCTCTCTCTTTCTCTCTCTCTCTCAAATAATTCATCTATGATATAGATCTCTATGAATAACAAACAATACATTTTTTGGCAAGTGGCTAACATAAAGTGGAAAATGTGGAAAATACCACAATGAGATAAACATGAAGTGGAAAATACATGCTTCAAATGTGTAATTCATCTTTTACAGTTTGTATGAATGGATTGTACACTGTAGATCTCAGTGACATTGACTGTCCAAACATGTGACGTGTATTTGCTTTTCAGTTCTATTCAAATAGAAAATACTTGTTTTTGGAGCTACACAAAGATCTACATCGTATAATGCTGCAGTATGCAATGTACAATACGTACAGATCAATTGCTTGAAATAAGGTAGACTCTCTCACACTGTATAACGCATGACTGCATGTATTATTCCATATAATCTGGTGTGACTTGGTGCTAGGGTGTCTACTTTATTTTAAGCAATCACAGTTTCCGCCTTCCTCTGTGAAAAAAGCAATCATGCATGCATATCTGTTGATGATTTATCTAATGAAGATCACGAGTAATAATACTGACAATTTGTTAGTTGGTAGCCTATATACTTCACTTTGGATCAATCCATATTTTTCATTTTGTATAGATTTCTACACTATAAATAATGAATAAAAACTGAAGTTTTAATCAATATTAAAAGGGCAAATTGGTTACAAGTTACAACACTGTCAGATATTTAACATGTCTCATTTTGGGGGTGTTAATTTATAAGTGGATATCATGTGATGCCATTATCAATGAATGGAAGACATGGTACATATCGTCCTTGTTTTCACGAAGTGACGGTAGTGAGAAAAATTGTAACGCAAAGTCAATGCAATTTTTTTTCACTACCGTCACTTCGTGAAAACAGCGACGATATTAATACTTGAATACAATATCAAAGAGTGAAGACCAAAAAGAAATATGAGAGAAAACAAAAATGCTGGTGGGGTCACACCAGCATTTCAGGAACTACCAAAACCACAGGTATGAGCTTTTGTTCTGAAAACTATGGCAACAAAGTACATGAATGTTGTACAAAGGATTCCGGGAGTGTCTACGTACAACGTGGCTACAATATCCGCTGACTCAGCGATGACATTAGGGCAAATAAAATACATTGCAAAGAATGTTTAATATTGCTCCAACTCCCAAATTATGCACTTGAGGATTTCATCAAAATCATTCCAATTGGCTCAAAAGCAGTTCAAAGCATAATCATGAATAAATGGATGCAGCTAGTCACTACTCATTTCAACATCAGAACAATGATGAAGATATCATGGAACTTTGCTATTTTGTTTATGGATAATATACATAAATATTATAGCACACATCACTTGCTAAGAAAATTGATCGTGATAATAGTAGTATTGATTACTTTACTGTTATTAAAGGTAAAGACCAGTATTGGAAACGCCCCAATTTCAAAAAATGAAATGGAAGCTCGATCTTATTACCAATCATGTGAAAGAATTGTTTTGACTAATACATGATGATAACAATTTTGCCGGGAAACCGCCTACTAATTGATATATTTGGTAAATTAGTTTATCTACATGGTCTGTGAGAGATAAACGCACGTGTCGCGCACATGTGCGTTTAGTCCCATATACATCTTTCTGTGTACAGCGCTTGTAACTTTACGAAGACTGGGCCATATTTCTTATCATTTTGATGATTCCAGAACCTTGCAATAAAAACCAATACTTATATGCTAGATGATCAACCTTTTCTGATCGATTCCACAACGTTTCTTTCACAATGCAATCGCATGACCAGAACTGGTCTTTACCTTTAAATGAGGCCAATAGCAGCAGAATAATAATAATGAGTAAACTAGGGCAAACTTTGAACCTGTTAATTTAGGTAGGCACAACATAATAACCCAGTCACATCAACAGGAACAGAGTAACAATAGAGTATATTGTTACTCTATTCCTGTACAACAGGTGGCAATAATATATCATACTAAAAATAATATTAAACCTGAATGGCCAAACCTGAATGGCCAAGATAATTGAGTCGGTTTGGCAGTCGGCGTGTAACACCATGTCTATTGTCCGGCATGCATGTATAATAGGAGGGGGTTTCCCCTTTACAAAATTTTGAATCTAATATAATGGGTACAAAGGCCTTTAATCCTGTCAGTCCAATAAAACTCGCATATATACCGGTATATGGTAGCATATAAATATTTGTGGTGATATACTGATAAGATATGGGCATGATAAATCCAAGACAATTCAGATCAATTAGGATTTGTTTTTAATTTCAAATTCAGGTGCTTTGTACATGTAAGAGCTAACATATTAATGGATTCACTTTTGAACAATTATTACATTATTTAATATCATTCTACATTCTAAATATATTGCAGAAACATGTAGGCCTACAAGTTTTGTAAAATATGCTTTGTAGTAGTTCATCTCTCATCATGCTTTGTACACTGTAGTAGTTGCGATTGATTAATTCAATTGCAAGTCCTCCAATCAATCACAAGTTGGCAGTCTCCTATCTCTATGTCAATCGCAAATAAGTTGCGATTAAAATCAACTGTTTATAAAACATGGAGGGGGGGGGGCAGCTTTTATATACATGGTCTCCAGAAGCGGCTGGTTCGTACCATAGAATATTGTAAACAAAATACAGCTGTGACCTAGTATGAACTTGAGGTGATGGAGTCAAGCGGCCTGACACCTAATGCCATCTCAGATACAGGGACCGGAACATACTTGTTCATGCTGTCAATGTATTATAAACAATATTCATAACTTAGAGGTAGAGAGACAGAGTCTTTCTGTTATAGAAATATTCAAATCACAATAAAAAAAAACATTTACATTACAGAAAAATTATATGAAAATCAACCATTTTTTTTCTTTCAAACTACCATTTAAAGTACTGGAAAAAAAACCATAGAGGTAGAGAGAGAGAGTCTTTCTGTTATAGAAATATTCAAATCACAATAAAAAAAAAAAATTTACATTACAGAAAAATTATATGAAAATCAACCATTTTTTTTCTTTCAAACTACCATTTAAAGTACTGGAAAAAAACCATAACAAATTGTACACATGTAGGTGTTTGATAATGCTGGTGTTATGGTGAATTGTATGCATGCACCACTTATTGCTGTTCTGCATGCGACAACATGGAAGCAAGGAGTTATGTGACCAGAAACCAGACAAATTCACTGGTGTTTTGAGAGCAAGTATTTACACTGGAAACAAATTGTTGACTTTTCTCTGGAATTTCATAAAACCGTACACCATGCAGAGGTGGGTCTTTCGCTGTGTTTATGGGGGGTTGCCTAGCAACTTCTGACCAAACTAAACTCCAGACTGAGAATAACCGATTGTTTTAGCTAGCGGTGTAAATGCTCCTATTCTGTTCATATACATGCCACTTTCCACTTTCCTACTCGGGTTATCTGCACTGTACTCTGTTCCTCATGGAAGTTTCGCTTTGATGATTGTGCCCAGACACAATATTTATTTGTTTCCCTTTCCTGTTTTCAAAGATTTTCTCT